AGTTATTCAATTATTATAGGAGTATATAATTTATTCAAGTTCATGTACACTTATTTAATTACAATATTATTCATTTAATCTATGATATAACGTCATCTTCTATATATTAAAAGTTGCTATGTAACGGAATTTCTTATTTTTAACGGAAAAACTAACGGAATTTGTTGTTTTAACGGACTATATAACGGAATTTCTAGTTTTAAACAGGCAGCTGCACCTTCTTTCGGTGTTTTTATCATAATTTTGTATTCCAATATCCGATTGAAGCGATTCAAAATGCGTTGGAAAGCTAACTCATCTGGCTACAACTTTGATTCATACACCATTCTCCAATTCGATCACTTTCTATGCCAAAAATAGGTCTCAATATGAGACTAGAACATCGGAGTATAACTTTTAGGTTGGAAATTGATTTGTGATCATCTTTTGACTAAATTCGATTCCATTGACGTCTTCCTTTATCCAATTGACTCCGAGCACTCTCGAATCTTTATCGTGAGGTTCGACACAACTTTTAAGTATTTACATTTTAGTCCCCGAACTTTGGATCCCTTACAATTTAGTCATTTCTCAAAATTTGTCAACTTTTGCTTATTTTTTTTCGATTTCACCAACTTATATTACAACATCAAAATCACACATCTAATTATTTATCAATTATATAAACATTACATCATTAATTATTTAATTAACCAAAAAAATTACATCTTTATTAATATCAAATTAATTTTTAAACAAAACTATTACATATAAACTAGGCAAACGTGCATTTCACGTTGCTTGCACCTAGTGTATTTATAAGCTTTAACAAACAAGATCAACCGCTTGTTTGACATGATTTTTGAGAAGTCAAAATGAGTTTTTGGACCCATTTAATTAATTTTATAAAAGTACTTTTTTAAAATTAAAAGAGCTTTAAGAGAAAAATAATCCAATATAAATTATTCTGAAATCACTTTCTAAATTAAAAATCATTTTAAAAATTAAATTAGCTTCCTCCCATAGCTGTGAGCAGCAAAATAAAAAATCATGCAAACAGACCATAAAATAATATAGTATAAAAGTTGAAAGTGGTAGGGTGGACTGGAGAAGTAGTGGAGAGCCAAAAAGAATGATTGGACAGCACAAAGGTCCAAACACAGGACTTTGAAATAGTCGCCGAATCATATTACCATAACATAATATGCCATCTGTCACACTTCCGACACGTCTTCCCCCTTCTTGTGCCGCTAATGCCGGTTCCCACGTGACACCGACGTTCCTTTCCTTTTTATTTTCGGAACATTTCCATTCCAAATTAAATTTGACTATTTACAAGTTAAAAAAGGATCGAATATCATCGAATAAAAGTAATGTTTGCCAAAATCAAACGAATGGTTCAATCATAAAAATTGAGAATCAATTTAATTTTATATAAAAAAACGTAAGATCATAATCTATTAAAATTAGTCAATAATTTG